TACGACGAGACTTAACGATATTTTTTTAGACTCCGCTAACGAATCGACTAATAAGAAAAAAAGAGCTATGCTAACTCACGCGCGTGCGCATGCCAATCGCGATCGGAACTTCGCGGCACGTCGACTGGTTAACGCGTTCCTATCCAACAATCCAGCCGATTTTCCCCTGACCTCTCATCCTGATCGACACTCATTATCGACGAGCGCACCCGCGGATCCCCCGAAACCATCCGAATCCCCGAGCAGACCTCCCTCGACTCTCCGGAATGTTTGAAACTCCAAACTCTCGGGCTCGAGAGAGCCGAATCTGCGGAATTCTGTCTTCGGATAAATCTCTGAAGTCTCAAGACTCCGGATCGAGCGGTAATTGCGATAAGAACTTGGAGTTCAATCACGTTATCTTGAAATTTTCTGAAGCTTTCAATCAGGCGCATGGCAGACTCCAAAATGTTTGAAACACGTTGGACTTGGAAGCGTTGGAAGCGTGTTCTTAGATATTTATCGTTTATAGTACTTAAAGATCTTCTTTTCCAATATTTCCGTATTAATTAGAAATTGATACTGTACCGAGGCCAACACCGAACGTCAATGTTATCATTATCTACTAAATCGAAATTCCAGAGAAGTATATACATATACATGTAGAAATAAAATACGCTTAAAAACAACTCGGAGCGTCTCGGAAAGTTTTGCTACGTCTTTGAGATTTATTATGACGACGTCGTATTGAACGAAATACAAGATACTGCCCGCCAATCCCGGAAGAAACGTATAGTCAGTCCCCTTTTTCACGCAACTGTTCAAAATAACGCGACCCTTCTTCCTCACTCGGATTTTGTGAACTCGCATTTTGCATTTTTCGCATAAGGGACACAGGAGAGAAATTGTCATCGTCGCAGTTGTTACCAAATGATTTGCGAACCCTCAAGTCATGATTTTTCGAGGTGAGACAGACAAGTGGCTGAAGAAAAAGAGCCAAAGTACTTTTAAACAATTTTACTTTATCTCACAGAATATTTTAAAGAAAGAAGACTATATACTTCAGAGTTGTTGGAATTGGCTTAAAAAAGATCGATTCTCTTCACAGCAATATTTCTATCGCTTCAATTGTCGCCACCGCGCGCGGCTTTTAATTTCTCACAGGCGTGTTTCCTAAACTGATTCGGACATGCTTTTTGTCCGATTATCGAACGTCCTCTGTTCACGCTCGCTCTTACACAAATGTATCGCCATCAACAATCCTCAGACTCCGATCGGTCTCTCCTTCATCAAGTTCGTGTTCGCGCTGTAATCGATAGTTCAAAACCCAGGCGACTCGCAAAGCGACCACCCCGCACGTGGGGGACGTGGGGGTTCCTCCCGAAAGGCTTCTACGCTGCATCTTCTGTGTTAAAGATCCTTTCGATATTGAGCTCCGGCTCAACAGGTCGAGCTCGCGAGGAAGTGGCACACAGGGTGTCGTGTTAAACCTTACACATTGTTGCTCGAGAATCATGCAAGCGCGATATGCGGTTGGACGATTCTTATAGTTATAATTATATAATTACAGAAACATAACGCTTTCGCATCACGTATACGCGGAGCGTTCCAGGACTGGCAATCTCGTCTTTCATGTGCGAGTTGAATTGGTTCTTTTTGGACCAATTTGGAATCGTAGATGAATGGGGATCTGTTCGAAGATCCCTGGAACACCCGCTATTTATTAAAGACCCTTTCTTTTGACAGAGATGTAGTGGTGACTGCGAATGTTAGAACGACGACACAATCTCTGATTTGAAATTCGTATTTCCTGTAATTTCGACCCCGCAGGAACTTGAATTCTTGAAAGTTAGTTCAGGGGGACCCTCTCGCGGCCCCCGAGGTTTTAGCGTAATTTCGAAACATTCTTCAAATAGCGAACAGTCCAAAATGCCAGGCACCTAGGACGTACTCTGAGTCCGCGGAAATGTTGAGTGAATCGCCGTATTCCTAGACCTTTGGGCTCTTCGAATAAGATACTTTGCGTAATTTTAGAAACTTTGCGAAACTTTAAGTCCTTAATTTGCAACAACAAAAAAACGCGCGAAATCCCTTTGGAATGTTGATTCCCAAGATCTTTATGATTAAATTATACATATACATATACGCATATACATATATATATATTTTTAGGCGTAATATATGATTATAACTATGCCTCACATCTCGAGCTGAGAGACGCGACCCGATGTCGCTTGTCGAAACAGTCAGGCGTTTCTGTGATTCCTATAGACTCGAACGGTGTAACGACACTGAGGTTCTCACACTTGAAAAGAAGAAAAAAAAAAAGAATTTACGCGGACGATAGCGCTCGTCCTGCGTCGGGATCCGGCGATCCTGGCGAACGGGGTTTACTTTTCATTCATATAGTCATTCGAGTGCCAACCCGAGACTTAACTCTTTGATTACTAAACGGAGAAGGAAGCGATTCTCATGCGCACGAGATTACTATCTGAATTGTAAAGTCAAAGAGACTTACTTAGAGATTTCGCGCCGGTCATGGTGTTCACGTTTTTTTTTTTTATAGATTGATTAACTTTCAATCGATTAAATTTTGTCCTATCTTTTACCGCTTTCATCATTTTTAATTGTTCATAAAATGTTCATAAAGCTCATTTTTGCATAGTTGCGCCGATATATGCACATCATACATAATTATATCTTTTATTCTAATAAATAAAATGTTGGCAGTGTGCCGACAGTTTGCCAGCAAATTCGAGTAAACTATTGCAGATTGCCACTATCTATTCCGAATTAAGTTCGTGTTCAGTTGGTAGATCCCGATATACGATCTGACAGCAGAATCTCCCATTCTGTAACTATTTAAATGGAATGTATGGTTTAAACGGTCATCACGAAGTGATAAATTTTGTTTGGTTTCTGTAGTCAATCTGCCATCATATTCCAGTTATATTTCTGCTGGCATTTTAACAAGGAAATTTGTTCCATACACTTTGCGAAAACTGTTTTTGACAGATTAGCTATCGTATTTACGACGGAATTATACATATATAATAAACGATGGGACGTATATAAGTGACGAAAGTCTGCATCAGAAAGTATTTCAAGGGTGGGTGTTGAAATTCGCTACTAATTATAATTACACTGAGGGAAAAATATTGTAGAATCAACAAAACAATTTTGTTGATTTCTCAATTTATTGACCCAATTATTTATTTTATTGAATTAAGTACACGTCTATTGTTTGAACAAAATGAAATAATTGAATTCTGAAAATGGTATCATACAAAATCATTTTTTTTAAGTTAATGATCAATTTTGTTAACTCAATAAAATAATTTTGTTGAACCAAGAACATTATAACGTTTTTAAAAATAGTAAATTTATTCAAAGAAATATTTAGTTAATGTTATATTATGTATAATTGATAGTATAAAATATTTAGTTAAAAAGAACAAATCAATATAGTCAACAAACAAAATAGTCAAAAAGAACAAAATATTTTGTACAAATATTTTGTTAAGCCAATCAAATCATCTGCTTGGCAACTAACAGTTTTATTAAATCAACAAAATTTTTTTTTTTGAAAAAAAAAATATATATTTCTCTCAGTGTAGCGTTCACATATACGGGGCGTTATTATAATCACGACTAATAGTTTAAGACGACGGGACGAGGATGCTATCGTCCGCGTCGCTAAGGAACAAATCCCACGCAACGAATCTTGAAAGTAGTCAATATCTAATCAATTCCGAGGGATAGGATCAACTCTCTTAGGGGATAATTAAATGGAAAGGGACAGGGGACGAAGGGTGGGAAACGTAACCCCAAGCAAATAAATTTCAAGTTTATTTACAAGGGGTTATGCTTCCCACCCTTCGTCTCCGTCAAGCGGGAGGACGTGTTTTTCGACGGAGAACGATTAAGTATCTTCCATTATTAGTGACTCGATCATCAACAGTGGGTGAGCGTTACGGATGAGTTTGCCATTAAAATGTGGGGTGCGATTAATACGAGGAAGAGTGTGTATATACGTTACGTGTATTTAATTATAATAGCGACGACATAAACGTAGCGCATATTTTTAAAGGAGAAGAAAATAATACGAACGCCATGGCACTAAGCAACCGATTAAATTGCGAATCCCGCGTTAAAAATAGGGCCCGGTCGATACTCTTTAAAAACTAGCGTTAATCACGAAGCTGATCGATCATTATTAACGAGGGACGGAACGCGCGTATAACTTATTACGATGTCTGTGAACCAACGTGTTTTCATGTCGAGAACAAATAAATTTGCAAATCGGAAGGATTGCGTTCTGAATCTTTTTATTATCCCTCCCCCCCCCTCTCTCTCATTAATCAATTCCCGCGATTAGCTCACTACAGCGCGAAAAACAAGAAAATTATATTCCAAGTAGAAGAAAAGATCGGTGTATTTGTGAAATCGTAGAATAAAACTATATCTTATATATGTTCCTTCTTTACTGAATTAATATATTTGAATCATCTTTGCTTTATTCATTTTTTAATATAATTCCTACATTTTGATGCTTTTTCTAAATAAGTTTTTTCTGAATTTGAATTATGGTTAAAAGTCATCTTTTTTACAATTATTGATAAAATTACAGAAGTGCACTTAAAAAGTTTCGATGTTGTTTAGAGATGTGCCACAATTTCACATCCCATGTAATAATTTATCCTTCTTTTCTTCATGTATTTCAGGCTACAAGTAAAAGATGTTACACTAGCTGATAAATCAAGTAATTTAAAATAATTTTTTTCTTAATAATCTGCTTCTAACTATTCAAACCACGAGAGAATTATATGTTCAACCTTCTTTTAAATACGTAAACATATCCGAAAATTATCTTATATAGCTCAAAATGTATAAGAAACATTTACTTTAAAGAATGTAAAAAAATATTAGTATTTCAATCAATTTTTCAAATGCATCCTCTCACTTTAAGCAGAAAAGGTCAAATGAGGGAAAAGTAAGTTTGGAAAAAAATTAATGCAGTATGTTTGTAATAAACTGTATTTGTCTTTTTAAATGTGTCTATATGTATGCATGCCATTGGTTTTCATGTGTGTTGAATTGAACACTTCCCGTATCGATATAATTTCTCTAGAGACACGTTTTACTCCGTTTCTCTCGAATTTATCTCGTTGCAATTTCAATAAGAGTACGAAGTATAGCTGGCTAGTACATCCAACAAGAATTTTTATATACAGAATGATTCTAGTAACTGGACCAGGTTATAGCTCTTTCTTAAGTCAAGATAGAAAAACATGGTAAAATAGAAGCTATTACTGTTTATTTAGTATGAGACAGATCTACTATTACGTGATTATATTTTTTCGAATAATGCAGTGATGTATACAAGATGCAACGCACTTTTTTTAAAATGGAATCATGCTCTTTTTTAACATAAATCGATTCTTTCTATTATTATATATATAAAAGAATAAGATAAGGTAATCGGAAGGTTAATACTTGTCAGTTATTACACATTTTATATTAGAAAATTACTTTATTACATTAAGTGCTTGACTAACACATTTTCTAATTTGTGAATACACGTTATCTTTTAAATACCTCTATAAAGAAAACATCAAGGGGATTCAAATCAGGTGAACAAGGCTAAAGTGGAGGAATGCGGATTTAAAACAATTTTTCTTTATAGATTTGTATCAAATATCTAGTCACAATACAATTAGTGACCAACATGACAATGTTATGAAAAATATAAAAAAATTTGTTGGAAGATATTTAGAATGTCATGGTAGTGTATTTGATGTAATAATTTTGACAAAATGTGTAATATCCAGCAAAGTATTGACTTTCCGATTCCTAATTCTATTATACAGAATAATGAAAAAAAATCTATTTATGTTAAAAAAAGTATATAATTCCATTTAAAAAAAATGCAATTGCATTTTACTAATCCAGTTAGTTACTAGAATTACCTTGTACCATATATATAAAGATAACTAAAATATTTGAAACAATTACATAATGAGTATATCCGTTTGTTTTTCTGTTCCAAAGTATTTTTAAAAAATCTTTGAATTTTATCGCAATGCGATAAGTAATAAACAGAACTTTTTTTTCATCAGAAGATACTTTTTACATATTTTAATATGTCACTATTGATTATTTCAGTTTACATTGATTAAATCATCGAAATTTTGTTTTCATTCAAATTAATGTTGTCGTCTAAGTAAATGTATAGAATAAAAAATTTGTTCAAAAGTTAGTTCAAATATAAAAATATACAGAAAAGACTGCGTTACAACGTAATTATTTACATGTTTTGTACAAGAAGGAAGTTCTATCTACACTCAATGAATTTAGAGATATATTCGCATTATTGCAACATACTAAAAGTTTGTATTTGATCATTTCCTATATAGCAGTATCTTTAAAAAATTTCTTCTTGACATATTTCAACAAAATCATGCTAAGTCCTATCAATTCGCTTCCTTTTGCGTTTCTTCTTTTTCCGTTTCCTTTGTTGCTTCTTCTTGAACAGGTTTTTCAGGTTCCTTGCTCACGTCTTGCTCGTTAATATTATTTTCGGTTGCAGTTCTCGACCACGAGCAACTTCTACGACCTGGCGACTTTGGCATAGACCAAGAACTACTGCGTGATCTGCGTCTGGGTGACGTGGGTCGTGATTTCGCCCGCGTAACTTTGACGGAAGACGATCTCTCGCCACGCTTGCTCCTATAACGATTCTTGTTGCGGGACTTGGAGCGACTTCTGGATCGCGATTTTCGTTTGGATCTAGAACGACGCGTTCTGGAGTTGGACTTTGATCTAGATGATTTCTTGCGCTTTGTTTTAGAGTTCGATCTTGTTCTTGTTCTCGTTCTCCTCTTCGAGACCGATCTACTTGCCGATTTCCGGCGGTTGCGCGATCTAGAGCGCGATTTCGAACGATGCGATCGCGATCTCGATCTGCGCGATCGTGATCTCGATCTGCGTGATCGTGATCTCGATCTGCGCGATCGCGATCTCGATCTGTGCGATCGTGATCTGGATTTCGACCTTCTCTTGGAGCGCGAATTGCTGCGTCTTCTACTACGCGATCTGGAGACGCTCCTGGATTTTGACTTGGTCCTCGTTCTTGAGATAGATCTATTTATCGGTTTTCGATTACGGTTACGCATCCTCGATTTTTGCTTCGAGTCCCGCTCGACCAGATGTGTAAAATACTCGTAGTATTGTCCATTATATAAATAAGGATTTGCCAACGCATAGTTCATTTCGTATCGTCCCCGACCTCTACCCATAGGTAACATGGGCTGATGGATCGACATCGAATATCCCGACATTGGCGACCGCATCATCTGTGATCTCGCATACCTCGGCATTCTCAACGTATGGAATGGCGCCATTGACGGCAACATTGGTATCCTGTCCATCGATATCGAATCAGAATAGTCATAAGGAAGATTTGCTGGCACAGCATCTGTAATTAATGTTGGGTTATTTTACTACATCTGTACATTTTTATTTCACAGCATTATATGTATAAATAATATTTTGTATGAAACGTACCTTTAGACGAAGTCGCACCGTCGTTTTTTATCAAGACACTCTTCAGTTTTTTCTTATTTGTCTCTTTATCTGATTCTTCCTCGGTTGTGCTACCTGAGCCGGAATTATCACCTTTTTTCCGTTTTTTCTGCGTTTTCTTCTGCTTTTTCTATAACAATAAAAATATTATTAAATGCTAATTCTTAAATAGCGTTGCATTGCAATAATGCAAATTTTACGTAATAAAATAATTAAACACCTTTTTCTTTTTATCTTTCTTTGTTTTCTTCTTCTTGTCCTTATTTTTTTTGTCATTTTCCGAATCTACTTTCTTAGCATTTTCACTTGTTTGATCATTTTTTGTTTCGTTCTTTTTTGCGATGTTTTGATCCAGCTTAATCTCTTTCTTCTCCACTTTCGTCTGTAATTGAGGTACATAATCAGATACGTATTCGTGAATTAATTTTATCGGTTTTATTCAACCTTAAAACGATTTTATCACCAACAATTTATTTTTTGTCACCCACCTTTATTCTGTCAAACAGTTCATCTAATAATCGTATGCTTTCCAACTGCCGTTGAGCTTTTATCAACTTATGTTCTTCCCTAGCGATCTTCATTGAAACCTTGTCCTCTTCTTGCTTACGAAACTTCGTGAGAGCCTTTCGTTTTCGTTTCTCTTCCCGCGTTCGTTGTCGATCTACTTTTGCTAGTGAATCTGCCTCCTCCTTTTTTCTAAGGTTAAAGCAAGAATAATTTTGTATCACAAAAAAGAAATACAATACCGTATTTATAGAATACGTCTTAAAGTATTTTTCTCATTAAAACGCTTACTTCAATTCCTCTTGCCGTTTCTTTTCTGCTTCTTCTCTTTTTCGAATTTTCTCCGCCGCTAAATTGTCCTGCGCTATTAAACGCCTTCTCTCGAATTCCCGATGCGATACCGAACTGTCGCTCATGTGTTTGGTCTTGTCAAAATCAACCTGAATGGAATTATTTCAATCATCAAAAGATATTCGAATTAATAATCTTTTTTTTTTGTTCTGTTTATTTTGAAAATTATTTGTCGCATATTGTCGCGTTTAGAATGTATGTTATCTTACGTTAAGTTAAGTTTACAATTATTAACATTCCAGAAAACATATTATACACATTAGTATTGATGTAGATATACAGTCAAAAAAGTTTTAATGTCACAACAGATATACTATAGAGGCATTGTATTTTCTATTGAATATTACCTTTATTGTCGCCGTCAACGAATTCTGGCCGTCTTTCTTCAACAGTTTCATACCACGCAGAGCGTCCATCGCTCTGACAAAATCCATATATTCGACATACTGTACGTACACGTCGAAAAATAAGCCGTCCTCGTAACTGAACTTATGAATGTTATTACCGAGCCGCATTCTGGATCTGTAGCGATCCGCGGCAGGCACGTCGAGTCTCCTCAACGTGCCCCATTTCTGAAAGATCTTCGTGACTAGCGACTCGCTCGGTACGCTTGCGTTATCCTCGGAGAACCATTTAACTGGCAGACCGGTAATGTGGATAGTGTCCGGTCTCTCGCCGGCCTTCAACTCGTTCATGTGTTTCGCATCCCTGAAATAGGAGTTCCAGCTGTGTTTCGTTGGGAAGTCATCCTTCGTCTCGGCCGCCCGGACCTTAATAAAGTAAAAAATTAATTAATTCCTCCAATGTCACAGATCTCGTTGCTTAAATCTCTGTGTTTAATGCAGAATTGTATTGCGCGATTAAAATTGGTGGCGACATTTACCTTGAGGACGTTGGGAAAGCCGGCGAGATTCAATTGCTGCAGGTCCAGCCTGGCCAACACCCTCGGCAACCTGCATCGGTCCCGCAGGTCGCCCTCCAGCCGAATGAATTCCAGAGTGCTTTTGGCCACTTTCAGGGATTCGAATTCGTCCGGCAGTATAAGCGCGCGTATCTTCTCCATTACCTCCCATGTCGATATTGTTTTGCCTATTTATAGCGCAGTTAAGTTTCTGTAAGAAGCTATCTTTACTAGAGCTGTTGCAAGTGGCTCGTGGCATCGCACGGATCACTTGGAATCATGGTTTCTCTTCCAATAGTTGAATGCTACGTTATTTCTCCTGTCATTCTCCGCTAGAGACAACGTAAATGCAAGTGCATAGACTTGTTGCGATAACTTTATCTCTCAAAAACAAGTTCCTTACAAATTAGCTAATAGAAATAAAGTAATAAGATCACAAATAAACCGTAAGTATTTTCGTGTGTCAAGTTGAATGATTATCGTCGCTCAAATAAATGTTGACAAACATTAACAAAGCGTTAGACAGTAATAAGAAAGATGCAAAAATAGATCCGGAATTCATAACAAATGCAAATTAAGATTAGATGGATGAAACAAACTCAGTATTTAATCAAGATTAAATATAAAATAATAAAAAGAAACTTGAAAAATTAAAGTTTATAAGAACTGTACATTATTCTTGTAATCAAAATATTGGAATTACAAAATTAATACCAAAGTTATGTGATAACTCTAATTTTTTTTAGTCTCATTTAAGAGGGAAAAGTTCTGCTCCTCCATTTTCTAAAAATTCATTATCGCAGCATAACTCTCATTTGATTGATATATCAAGTGAAGTTAAAGAGGAACATTAATACCTACACAGCCCTAATTTTATCATACCAATATATCTTAATAAATATGCCACAAAAAGAAACTTTATAGCATGTAGTATAGCAACATATACAATAAGTAGAAGAACTGCTTAACTTAAATTCTCGAAAATAGGAACTGTATAAATTCAATCGACAAAAATATATATTGCAGATAAAATTTCATAAACAGAGAAAAGTTCAGTTTCTTTTTTGAAATACATGTTGTAGCATTATTGCATTATTAAAAAATATGAATTATGATCAACACAGATCGTTGTTCCAAGATTAAGTATAAGATTTTAAGAGACACAATTAGAAAAAGGAAATTGTATCGACAGAATCCAAAGCATGGTTGATAAAACACGAACATCAGTTAGAATTTAAACATTTGTTTGAGTCCTAGCAGCTGCGCTTTGGCTTCTATTGTCCATGCTGCAATATATAGTTCAGAATCTATTGCTGTACGATATAACAGTTGAGGAAGAAGAGACAAAAAGGGGGAAAAAATAAAGACATAGAAAAGAGGTCCGT